CTGGGCCCAAACTTTTGCTCCTTTTGCCACAGCTGCCCAGAGGGCTAGAATCACAGGTGTGTGCCCCACGCCTGGCTGCCAGGTACACTTGGAAGAGTATCGAAGGCCTTTCTCCTTTCCCGTGCCCAGCAGTGTCCCTGTGTCCCGCCCCTTCTCGCTTCTCTCTCTGGAAACAAGGAGTTCTGGGCCTGGGTGGGGGAGAATCACACACTGAACCCTTGGAAGATCCAGCCAGGCCGCAGTTTGGGTTTGAAGGTGGGGTGCAGCGACTCAGCGGCACACCCTCTCTCCACCCCAGACTCTTCCAGGTCTCTGGCTGGACCATTTGGAAAATGGGAGAATTTCCTGAGGGAAGGAGAAGTTTCAAAAAGAAAATTAGATGCTTGGCATCTCTGCCTCCTGAGCCCACAGGGGTGGAGCAGCCTGGACCCTGGCCAAACGTGGGACTGTCCCCTAGGACCTGGACCACGAGCTGCACCCTAAAAGCCACCCTGGAGGGGTGATCAGCCTGGGCCTTCTGAACCAGGCTTTACTTCCAGGCCTCAGCTTTACATAAATCAGTGTTTCAATATACATTTGTTCCTGTTGCATTCACACACAAAAGCCTTGCTGGAAATATGCCAGGATGAGACATATAATGATGTTGTTTAGCAGCAACTGTGTCATTCTGTGTTGTTGACAGTAAAATAAATTAACATAATAAACATAATTTGCTCAAAAATCCGGCTAAGAAAAAGCAGATGGTTAGCATATTCCGGCAGGGCCTGTTGGTCCAAGTTTGCATGGATGTTCAGACCTGCGCGCTGCTGCCGGCGACTGCTGCCGGCGAACAGATGCTGGCGGTTCCGGGGGCCCCACGTTGGCCCCGGGGCCGCAGCTCTCGCTGGGGACCCCGGAAAGCGAGGCCGGAGTGGGAGCGGGGAGCTGGCGTGCGCACAGCGGGCCTCCGGCGCCGGGCGGGCCCTTAGCATTCTCGGCCTGCCGCCCACCAGCGCCTGTCCTTTGTGCGCCGAACAAGGGCGCTTTCTTCCGGGAGGAAGGCGCAGGAGCGGTAGGCTCCCGCGGGCGGGCCAGCGTCCCAGCGCCTGGGAGCCGGGGGCTTTGCCTCTGCCCCAATTCCTGCGCCCTTGGCACCAGAAGCAGCAGAAAAAAGTTATTTTTGCAAAAGGCTCCTCGGTGGCCGGTGGGCTCGTCTTCCCCCACATTGGAGGGGCTGGGCTCGCAGGTCACTGTCATCAGTCCTGGTGACCGCTGGCTCCCTAGCCAAACCCGCTCAGTTGACCATGGGGAGGCGAAGCTCAGGCCTCCAGCGAGCGGAGCCTGAGCCGGCGCCTCAGAAAGAGGCTGCTGGGAGCTGCCGAGCTCTGTCAGCAGGAGGCCCGGCTCCCTGCTGCCCGGGGCCGGGGTGTCAGACCCCCCCCCCGGAAGGGGGCTCCCGGCCCACCCCCCGGCCTCGGTCCTTCCGGGAACCTCCCTGCACTGGGTCCCGGAGAGCTCAGAAATGGGCGAGGCGTGGCTGGTTTCTTACCGAGAACAGCTTACAGGGAAATAATGACGAGGACCATGCCCAGGAGCTCGGAAGTGGGTGAGCCCGGGACCGGGCCAGGCAGGTGCTACCTGCTTCAGGCGGCAGCCACTGTAACTGGGCTGCAGCGCCCAGGCTGGCTTCCCGGGGAAGGCCGAGGACAGAGCGAGCGGGCCTGTCCGCCCGGGTGTCTGTAGCTACTGAGAGCGGGCGCGCGCGCGCACACACACACACACACACACACACACACACACACACACACACGACACTGGGGTCTGCCCCCAGACTTGGTTTACCGGGTCTCCCTCACCTCCCTAGGTATCTCCACCACCTGCAGAGACGTCTAGCCCGAACTGGAAGTCATTTCTGATCCTTTCTTTTACAAACCTCACATCACATCCATGGGCAAGTTCTGTTGACCCGACGTTTAGAAACCACGCCAAGTCCACCTGGTAGTCATCGTGTGCCCCTCTCCTGCTCTTGGGGTTCCAGCCACCCTTCCCTCTCCCGGTCCTTCCGGCTCAGCTCCTGATGCACCAATCTGCGGGGCCCTGCAGCCCCAAAGCGGGAATGTGCCCTTCTCCTGCTGACCCCGCTCGGTCAGGCCAGGTCTGGGAGGCTGAAGTGAGCGAAGATGCCGGAGCTAAAGGGAGCAGGGATCAGCAAAGAGCAGGGAACTGTGCTGCCTGGGATGGGACAGCAAGGAGGGAAGAGGGGGAAAGAACAGCCCTGGCCCCAGGGTGAGTTCCACACCGGGGTCCCTGCCGTGTACCCCCAGAGCGGGCAGCCCATGGGCAGAGCTGTGGGTGGAGCTTGGTGGCTGGGGCTGGAGGCTGACCCTGCTCCCCTGGCTCCTCTCCGGGAGAAGCCTGGCCGTGCACCCCACTCGCCTGATGGTTGCCTTGCACTTGGATCATCTGTGTCCACCTGTTGCCCTGAGCCCCAGATCCTCTGGCGACCCAAGCTTCTCCCGTGTCCGGCTGGGGCCCTTACAGCTTCATCTCCCAGTGGCAGCCTTTTCTTGCGAATCAGACCTCAGCTCAAATGTCAGCAAGGCCTTTTCTGCCCCTTCCGCTCGAAAGCAGCTCCCCTGCCCTACTGCTCTTCCATCGCCTCTCCCTTCAGTCCTGCCCTCCCTTAGCATTGTCTGACTTTTGCATGCTCCTCTTCCACTGATTTATTTATTTGGAGAGCAGGGACCTCTTTAGACTTGCTGGCCACTGTGCCTTTAGCACAGTGCTGGGCACACAGTAGGTGCATTTATGGTTGGGGCAGAATGTAGAGCCCGGGAGAGCTGGTATCCCTGGGACTTAGCGGGCTGGTGCTGGGCAAGGCTGGACCACTCCTCAGAACAGAAAGCATCCTGAGCTGCATGCTTGCAGGCCGAAATTCTGCCCCAGGCAGGTAAGCAAGACTAAGAGGAGACTTGAGCAGGAAATATGCTTAGAAACCTGGGTTGCCACACACTGAAGATACTGATTGCTCATACAAACTGTTCAGGGCTTAGGTTTGACAGCTATGGTGAAGGGCTAACGTGCTAGCTAAGGGTGGTTTAGAGTCTCTTCCCCAAGCAGCTTTCAAAAATCTGTTAGCAGAGAAGGCCTCAACAGACAGGCTCACCTGTTGGCCATTTAGTCATCAGCTGACTTGGTCCTAGAACATTCCAGAACAGCTATAGTTTGGAAGTTGGCATCCCTTCCAGATTCCTACACTGGGGACGAATACTCGGTATGGTAGTATTGAGCGCTGAGTGTTTGGGGAGGGGATCAGATCACGAGGGCTGCTCCTCTATGAGTGGGGTTGGCGTCCCTGGGAGAAGCTGAGTGGAGCTGCCTGACCCCCCAGAAAGACACTGCCTGTGGAGCAGGCCAGCAGGCACTCTCCAGCCACCGAATGTGTGGGTGCCTCGACTTGGTCTTCCTCCCTCCCCTCCACGGCTGGACGACCTAACTCAAGTAGTTTGCTGTGTGGTCTCAGAGAAGTCGCTGAGTCTCTCTGAGTTTGTTTCTGAGCAATAAATCAAGGGGGTTTTAATTGCATGCTACGCTGTCTGTAGGAGGAAAGGAAGGTGTGTGAAAATGTTGTGGGTTGCTGCCTTTGAGTATTCCGGCACATGTATGCTCCTGCCTCACTGTCCCAGAGAGGAGGCTGCTGGCCTGCCTGGACCTCAAGCCTCCCGGGGCAGCAGCAGAGGCAGAGTAGGAGGCGAATGGTAGAGATGAGGGAGACAAGCCTCCTCCAGTGTCCAGCTTACAAAGTCCTAGGGAGGGATGCTTTGTGAGAATATTTTCTAGAATAATTCGTTGGTGATTTTATGGGGGCAGAAGGAGGGTAAATCTATGCAAAGTTCTTTTTTCTGACAGTTGGAAATGTTTCCAATTGATCCTTTTACAAGCAAAACTGCCCTCCTGGAACCACACCCGACAACAGCTTTAAAAACCCTGAAATTTCCCATTATCCCAAATCCTCCTGACTCACAGAACATGACCCTCTCAGTACTGTATGTACTGTGCTAGCGAGAGTCATGCCGAAACTATTACAAAAATCTCGGCTGGGGCCCAGCAGCTGCTGTACAGATGTTCTGCATGACGGCTGGAGCATTGTTTAGCATCAATAAACACCAGCTCAGAGGCATAAAACGTTGAGTCGAGCTGGAAATGGCGATAACAAGAGCCATGAAGACTGTCTGCAGGGAAGTGGAACGGGGTCCCGGGCTGGGCGGGCCCTCCTTCCTGCACACAGTGCCGCACTGCCACCCAAGCGCTGCCGAGCCTCGTCAGGCTGGGCCTCGCGTCTCCATCCGATGGCCGGTTTGCTCCCACTGCTGGGTGTCCATAGCTAGATGTCCAGAGATGGGTGCGAAACCCAAACACCCCAACTTTTGGTTCCCAAGCCCTGAGTCCACCCTTTGGCACCTGTTCATCGATGTCTCTAAAGATTCAGCTCTGCACACGCTGGTCTCCGAAGCCTGGGCTGCTCAGCTCCAGAAAGTCAGGGGCTGGCCACCTCCGGGTCAAAACCAGCAACTCCCAGCTAGATGCCATCTCCCCAAGACACTTAGTGTCTCCCTGCTCTCGTTTCTGCCGAAGTGAGGGCCACTGACAGCCCGTACACTGCCAGCTGGGCCTGGGATCTCGCTGGCCATAGCTTGGGAGCTGACCATGCAGTTCCTGTGCCCATCAGACAGGACCCAGCGGCGAAGCCAGGGCTGTGTTGGATGGAGCACCACTGGGCAGGGTCCGGGCAGGACCTCAGAGACGGGCTCAGCCCAGCCCTCATTTTGCAGACGTGCAAAGGAGGACAACAGCAGTGACGACTGTCCAAGGTCACACGGCCAGGAAGAAGTGGCTGGAACTGGGCCCAGGCATCTGATTGGACTTCTTTTTAGTCCTCCACAGTTTGCTCATCTTTAAACTAAAGCATTATGAGGCAATCAGTTCATTTTCGAATAAAGAAAATTTTGTTAACCAATGTCTGATATTGTACAATGATCAAGAAAAAACCAGTTAGAAACCTCTCCAACACTGACGTGGGATGGGTGTGGGGACAGACAAGAGGCAGGCTCACAGGCCAGGCCAGCTCCGGAGGCCTGGGATTCCAGAGAGGCTCACGTACCAGAAGGTCTCTCCTGGATCTGCTCCAGCTCATGCCAGGCGGGCCAAGGCCTGTGTAAGTCAGAGTCCTGTGCTGCTCCAAATGTCGGGGACAGGCCCGGGGCAGACACCTTCCAAAGACCAGCCAGCCGCACAAGGGTGCCCTCCTCAGAAGCCCGGGGAAGCTTTCCTCCAATCTGCCTCCAGGGAAGACGAGACAGCGCTGCTTTCTGACGCCGTGGCTGGTCCCATGGCTCGTGGCTCTAAGGCTGTTGGAAAGTTACTCCAGCCTTGACACATGTCCTTGCCCCACGCTGTCCCTAGGGCTAGGTGAAACCCTTTCCAAAGCCACTGTCCTCTACTTCGCCAGCTTTTCAGGTTTACTAGACTAAATGAGGAGGCTGCATTATCAGGGATATGCGGGAATCTCCCCCTCTCTAGTACTGCAAGCCTTGGAGCTGCCTGCCTGGGCCTGGGCCTCACCAGGGCCCTCCCTTTGTCCCTTGCCAGATGTCCCTGGCCAGCCCTGGTCAGGCCCACTCACCTGGCAGTGTAGGTTCTGAGGCCAGCTGAGGAACATTCCCTAACCCAAGCACTTCCCCAAGCCTGTGGTTTAATAACTGCCATTTAAACATAATGAGAAGTGATTGAAAATTAATTTCAGAAATAGCCCTTGCCAAATAACTCATTAAATGGCATCTCCCCGGGTGTGCCCTCTGCTCAGCATCAGGCTTTCATCACTCAGGAAAAACCGAGTTTGGTCGAAGTTTCCAGACTGAATCTTTGCCGTCCTGGATGCTTTTCTGGGGCGCTCACCTTTGGATGTCCCGGCAGGGTCCTCTGCAGGCTGGGACAGTGAGGGTCTCGCAGGGCGTTGGACAGGGGCCACCTTGTGTTTCTCTCTCAGGCTAAGGGGTCTGCACTTCCAGGGTTATGTCCTCCCTATTTCTGTTCCCGGTCCTCAGGGAAAATGCAGGTGTGAACAAAAGCCCAAGCAAGCAGGGTGCCTTTCCTGTCCCTCAGAGCCCCAAGTGTGGGCTCCTGGCCTTCGGAAGTTGGTGGCAGACAGCGCCCCTCGGAGGGCGGACTCTGTGGCCAGCCTCTGTGGAGTGAGAGCAGACAGCTCCATGGCGGCTGAGCACATGCGGACCTTGGCAAAATCCCGAAGGGTGGCCCGGCGGGCGGGTCTCTGCCCTCTTTCCCTCCCACTTCAGTCAGTGGTTGGCTCTCCTCGGACCGGACCGGGGAGCTCTTGGGAGCGAGCTGGCCGCAGCCGGAGACCCCAGCGCTCGTGCCCCGGCCCTGCCCGTGGCAGCTCCTGGTCCAGGGGAGGAGAGCAGGTGCAGGTGGGCGTCAGACCTTCTCTGCACAGCGGCGCGGGAGGGGCGGGGCAGTGGCCTAAGGGCCTGCGGGGGCAGCAGAGGGCACATCCGGACTGGACTGCGGGTGTGGAGGGGTAGAGGGAGGAACCGGGGAGGCTGCTAGGGGCAAGCCGGCTTCCATCTGACAGAAACTTCGTTCAGAAGGAGGCGATGGCGTCAGTGTGGGTCCAGGCTGCTACCGCGGGCGTCAGGGGACCTCCTGCCGGCCCGCGTGGAGGCTGCGGGCGGCAGGGTGGGCGGCGGAGGCGCTAACAGGCCTCCGATCAGCGTGGTTAGCGCTGGGGTCCGCAGACGGGATGCCACTTCTGAGCAGGTCCGGGGTCTCGGAGGTGTCCACTCCAGCTGACTTCCGGTCCCTCCCCTCTGCCCCCGCGCTCTGCGGCTCTGCCTCCCGGCCGCAGAACAGAACTGCTCTGCTCCCCACGCCTTCCACCTCCACCTCCACGTCTCTACCTGGAGGCCAGCCGACCATGGCCTGAGGCCATGAACACATTAACCCTCTCCACCCTTCAGCTGTGGGCCTTTGGTCCCAGCAGCTGCACCGTGACCCACCGAGTGCCAGGCTGTGAGGATAAAGCCGAGGAGACCCCTCGAGGTCAGCCCATCTACCATCTGGGGGGCGCCAGGCGTAACAGCCACCTTGGCTGGGCCGAAGTACCTGACACACGCAACGTGGAGGAAGAGAAGCTTATTGGGCTCGAAGCCACAGAGTCTCAGCCCACGGTCTGCTGGCTCCAAGGCAGAAACAGTAGGGTGGGAAGGTACAGCAGAGGAAAGCTCGACCTATGGCAGCCTGGAAGCAGAGAAAAAGCAAGAGCAGCAGAGAGGAAGGGGCCAGCGAGGAGAACACACCCTAGCAGGCCCCTTCCCTGATGCCCACTCCTCACAGCACATGAGGCTGTGGACTCATCGCCGGGTGAATCCACTCATGCGTGCAGCGCCTCAGGAGCCAGTGCACCTTCCACAAGCCCCGCCTCCGAACACACGGGGAGGCTGGGAGCGCCTTTGATAGCTACGTCATAACACCAAGTTCTCTAGGCGGAGGGAAAACACCGTGTCACCCAGTTGCGCTCCGCCCGAGCTTCTGATCCAGAAAACTGCAAAGCAATAAAAATGATTGTTGTTTTAGGACACTAAACTTTGGAACTTTCAGCGTTAGGTTTGGCGGCCATGGGAAACTAGAACAGAATGTGGTACTTGGAGGTAAGTTGCTGCCGCAACAAAATCCTCACACGTGGCCTTGGCTTTGGGATGAAGCACTGGGCCGAAGCTGGGACCCCAAGGGCGTCAGTGATCAAAGCTAGAAGCACCCCAAAGATGCTGTTGATGGTAGCTTGGAAGACAGGAAGGAACACCAGAGGAGGCTGCGCTGCCATGCGAGCCCCGTTGTCACCTGTGATAACATGGGGACTGGGAAGTACCCAGCAAACTCAGGGGTCAGGCAGAAGACAGTGCTGCTGGGTTCCTCAGCTGTCTGTGAGAAGCTGTAAGGAGAGGTGAGCTCAGGAAAGAGCTATCAGGGTGCAGAGCTGAGAGGAAGCAGAAAGAGTCAGGCCTCTGGGTGTGAGAATGAACTTCTTCCTCATCCCCACGCTCAGCAAAAGTGTCACAGTCAGCAGAGTGTGATGACATCACCTAGAATCCCAGCACACTGGAGGCTAAGGAGGAGAATCACGACTTCGAGCCCCATCGCCAGACAGAGTGACACTGGCCGGACCTTAGCTCAGTGTGAAGGCCCTGGGTTCAATCCCAGTACTGGAGTTGGGGGAGGCGTCACAGTCAGAATGGCTTCAGGACCAGGATCAAATCTCCGTACAGCAGGGCCTCCGGGGGCAGACTTCATGCATGTGGCAGTAAGACTTTCTTTCCAGTCTCTGAAAGATTTAAGGGTATACCTAAGAGCCAGAAAGACACGCCTTATAGACTTTCTCAGCTAGATATAGGTAGTTAAGAATTTTAAGAGCACCGCACGCACCCTTCCCAGTTACGGAAAGTGGAGAAAGATCTGACCGGAAAAGAAATGTGACTCTTGTCTAACAGAAGGATCACTGGTGGGGAAATGTGGAATCCACAAAGCTGTAAGAGGAATTATATTAGCTTGGGCTGAAAAGATGAATTCAATACAAAATGGAAGAGGCCTTTGGACCCTTCCCCTGGGTGGGGAAGCCATCCAGGAGGCTCCTAGCTGCGAACAGGGGTTCCTTGTGAAGAGACAGAGGCAGGAGGCACAGAGGGCAGGACTTTGCTCCAGCAGAGAACTGGAGATACGTGATTGGCTGGATTTCCACATTGCCACGGGCTAATCACTGCCTGCTCTCTGTCTCTGGAATGGAGGCCTTCTCTGGAGTCCTCCTGGCTTAGGTTTAGCAGTGTTGGTGCAGTGTGAGGCACGCCATTCTCTCTCCGAGTCACAGGTCTTCAGCCCAAGAGGAGCCGGGCTGGAAGAAACCTATCCAGTGGGACCAGACCTGCTCTTGGAAATGCAATCCTGGTTCTCAGCCCAGAGCCTGAGGCAGCAACAGGAAAAGACCTTGTTGGGAGGTCTTTGTCTTTGTACCGGAAATGATGGAAGTGCTCTGTGACTTAGGGTGACCCTTGTGGAGAAAGTAGGGCAGGTTCCTTGACACTGACCCACTGTGCTCCGGGTGGGGATCACAAACTAGCTGGGTTCTTCCTTGAGGAGACTTTGTAGCCCAGTTCAAATGCAAAATGAAAGCATGTGAGGTTAATCCCTGGGGTCTACTGATAATCTGTCATCACTTAAATTCTGGAAAAGCTGAGCTGGATCCTGACGGATACATCCACAGGTCCCTGTACCTTCACCTCTTCTCTCTCCACTTCCTCTTCCTTGCCTGCCTGCCTTCCTTCCTTCCTTCCTTCCTTCCTTCCTTCCTTCCTTCCTTCCTTCCTTCTTTCCCTCCCTTGGGGATGGAGCCCAAGGCCTCACTCGTGCTAGTCAAGCACTCTAATACTGAGCCACACCCCCTGGCAAATCCTCACTTTTGGGGGGCCACAGACGCTGCCCCTCCGTGGGGAAGTGATGTAGTGCCATGAACGTAATGGGCTTAAGACCTGAGTGCAGGCAGCAGGTACCACAGGGGAACCCAGGACAGGGAAGGCCCTGTCACCACCCCTGTGACTGTGCGCTTTGCTCATGGCTTTCTGCTGTGATTGGACTGTCCCTGTTCATCCACTCTCCTGAAAACACAATGACCTCTGCCCCCAGGAAACAGGGCACAGAAGACGATAAAACCAGGATCCCAAGGTCAGGGCCCGAGGGCAGAATGGCTCTGGGGGATAGGAAGGAGGCTGTTTCTTGCCTCCAGGAAATTCCCTGCCCCATGCTCCATCTGCCAGAAACTTCGTATTTGTTCTTTCAGCTCTTACTGTGAGTAACTGAACCGAATGGATTATGTTGCACAATCGTAATTGCCTTGAGTAGGACTATAAAAACGTTTTCCTGCTCTCGTGCAGTTTAGTGATTATGAAGACAGTAAAGCAACGTGCGCCAATTTAAGAGCCCGGAACTAAGGTTCCCTGTAGGGTCAAGGCTGGAGCGGTCGGTTGCTAGCCGTGGATGTATGTTGCTGCTTTGGAAAAGAGACAGCAGAGAACTGCAGTGACAGAGAGGACAGAGAGAGTGAGGAGGCCAGAGCTGCTCCTGGTAGCGGGAGCGGCCCACTAAAACTGGCACAGGAGCCTGGTCCTGAATTTCTCTTCGTAACTTTTTCCTAAGTGAGCAGATGCCCAGCTATAGAAATGTCAAGCATTTTCCAAATGACATTCCAGGTAGAGATTGCCGACCGGGTTTCTGAGAAAGTACTTAAAATCAGCCTTCGGGGCCCTGACGTCCCGAGGGGTGGAGGTGACGGCTGGCACTGCTGGGGGATGGGCAGAGATACCGCAGCCACAAGGCTGCACGGCGCCTCATCTTCTTAAGGCGGCCCTTACGGCTAACGGCAGAAGCCTGGGGAAGACAGGTTATGAATTTGGAAACACCTATTTTTACTCAAAACTAGGTGTGAGCTCCACACTCAACTAGGGATGATTCCAGGGGCCTGGTGAGGGGCAGCAGGCTGTTGGCCTCGCAGACCGGCTGGTGCCCACCCGCTCTCTCTCAGAGGTGGCAGTGCACGTCGCTGGGCTCGGAGCAGAGCAAGGAGCAAGGGCTCCATCTTCCTGATGACGCGCTCTGTGTGCCCTGGCTTCCTCCTCAGCCTCTCGGGCCCTGCGATGATATCACAGGCACGAAGTATTGGAATGAGGATTGCAGCTGTAGCTCTTGTTTTAGGAAGAAATGGGGCTGCTCCCCTAACTGTAGGGGTGGGAACACAAAACCAGCCACAGGCCTTTTGTTGTCAACAAAAAGGCTGCAGATTGGTTCTCCCTGGTTGCATTTCAAAGAAGGCGAACACACACATACACGCTCACACCCCTCATTTTGCCTAAGTGCAGCCTTCACATGGCGAAAATTGAGACTTACATTTGTCCCGGCTGCCACCTTCCCACCCCACCTTCCGGCTGAGGTGGCCTAGCGAGTGAATTCCTCACATCCAGTAATCAGCTCCAGGGCTAGGGCCAGGGCCAGGAAAGTGAGCCGGGTGGCTATGCGGGGTGCGGGCCGGACACAGCAGAGGGTGGAGTCACTGCCGCTCCCTTCCCAGGGCTCCCAGCTGGGGCCCCTCTGTCCTGGGCTCCCACCAGATGCCTTCAGGGACCTCAGATCCTGGCTTAGTTGGGGTGCAGAGCCCCCTTCAGTTGGCATTAGGTGTGACCAGTGCACCCTGCCCCGGAAGCCCTGTCTCATCCCAGGCCTGGGAGTAAAATGAGGTGACTTGCTCCTCTGGGGTGGTAGGGGTCCCCTCTGGTCCCCAGCCATGTTCTTCTGGACCCTACCTCTGGACCAATCAGCATCTGAGCATCATCAGCACGTAGCTAACCTTTCGGGTTTCTCCAGTGACATATCATATATATTCTGTAAAATTAGTTTTTTAATGCAAAGTGACTTTCCAAGTATGACTTAGAAAAGAAATTCATTGCTGGAAAGTTAAAGAATCTTCAGACTTTAAACGCACACACACACACACACACACACACACACACACACACACACACATCGTGAACTTTTACAATCCTAGATTAATAAAGAAGTCTTTGGAGAGCTTTTAATGAGTCCCTTCCCATGTTGTCCCTGGACTATAAGCCATGATTGTTAAATGCAATCAGGAGCAGAGTTACGAGCTCAGGAGGCCAGGGGGTCCCCTGCCATTTACGGGCCTGGACCATAGTAATAGCCCAAGGGGGGGGGGTGTTGATCGGCCTCAGTGGGGCTTGTTGAAACCCAGTAGCTGTATAACTCTCTGACTAGTGGGTCCCACTGGGATCTATATATTTAATTTCAAGACCTTAATTCATGAGAAAGTTTATTCAGTGAGGAACAGGGATGGAGAATTGAGCAGTGTGTAGGAAAATGCCTACCGGGCCAGTTCTCGACTCTCCTCTTTCTATCTCTAACAGCTCCAGCCTGTCATGGCCCCAGAAAGGGTGCAGTGGCTTCACGTGCAGCTGGTGTGTGTGTCAGGGGGCAGGGATCTCTGCTTTCACTCAGGTTGATTTATTTGTCTTTTCCTTGGTAATTGTTTAAAAACAAAGTAAAACCTGCAGGCTTTTTGGAACTTTTAGAAAAGCCCTTCTGCTGAAGGTGGCTAAATCTGAGAAGAGTTTTGAGCTGAGCTGGAAAACATTTTTGCAAAACCTTTTCTTTCCCAGGGTGTGTCCGGGTGGACACAGGCTCCCTTGGATGCCCAAGCAAGCAGGAGGCCATCCCTGGGCAGTCAGCAAAACGAGTCCGGCCAGAGGTGGTTTGTGCTGGCAGGAGGCACTGAGAACCTTGCCGATGGTGTGGAGGGATAGCTACACCACAAGGGGACGAAATTCTCCACCTTGCCTCTAATTACAGGGAGGAAAGAGTCACTGGAAAAAAAAAATGTTCAAATTGTCTTAATGGAAGGGTCACATAGAAACCAAAGCCACTGCCTTAAGCTTTGAAGGGAAAATGCTCAGGAGTCAGTTTCCAAGCCAAGCCGCTCCCAGGGATTTGAAGTGGTCACTGAGAGCCCGAGGGTTCTGTTCCAGGGGAGAAGCTGCAGGCTGGGTGGGAGCTGGTGTGCCATGGGGTGAGGGACAGGGGACACCTTCCCCTGGGCTGGCTTGGCTGGGGCAGGGAAACTGGGCTCTGGGCCTGTGGGGTGGCCTGCAGCAGCCTTCGAGGTCACCCAGCCGCCTCAGGCTGTGTGTCCCAGGGGCTCCTGCTGGAGCGGGAGGGAGTGTAGACTCAGTCTCCCTCACCCTTGGGCTCGGGCCAGGACTTTGGATAGCTTCTGGCTTCCTGTCTTGTTCTTCTACGTTGACACAGGTGTGTAGCCCTCGGTAGGACCTCAGAAAGCAGCTGCTGACGAAAGCAGGTCCATGTCACCTGTGTGTACTGACAGGAGGACTTTGGCGTCAGTAATGCCTGGCACCGGCCACACAGGCAGGCAGGGGTCAGTAAGTGGCCCCTGTGCATCTCATCTCAGTATCTATGACGTCATCCTCAAGCTGCCTCCAGCACCTCGTCTTTTGAAGGCCTGCCTCATTTGTTGCCATAACTACCTGGCATAGTCTGTTTGGGCTATTACAGCAAACTGCCATACACCCAGCAGCTTGTAACACCAGAAATCTACTCCTCACAGCTCCGGGGCCTGGAAGTCCAGATTGAGTGCTGCAGGCTTAGTCTGGTGAGAGCCCATTCCCTAGGTCATAGCTGGCTGCCACCTTCTTCTGTGTCTTCATGTAGCGGAAGGGGCGAACAAGCTCTCTGGGGTCCCTTACAAGGGCACTGATCTCTCCTGTGTCAGTCAGCTTTCCTAGCTGTAACAAATACCTAAGACAGTCAACTTAAAAAACAAAAAGGTTTCTTTTGGCTCCCCATTTTGGTGGTTTCCATCAAGATTGCCAAGGCTGGTCTTAAATTAGGTGACACCTCCTGTGGGTGCAAGTTTTGGTACCAAGTGCCCTTCAGCGGATGAAAGCATATCCAATGTTAGCTCCCCCCAAGTATCATGTACTATAGGGAGTGAAAAGATTTTCATGTGGCAAATGGGAGCAGAGTATAAGTCTCTGTACAACCATGATTGGTTGACCCAATTTCATGGCAGGAGCAGGTGGCAGAAGAACACCACTCACTTTACGGCCAAGAAGCAAAACAGAGAAGGAGGAAGAGGCCGGGGTCCCACAGTCCTCTAGGGGAAGGCTCTCAGTGACCTGTGGACGCAGCCCCACCTGCTAAAGGCCCCACCATCTCCTGATAGTGCATTCCTAGGGACTAAGCCTTGAACACACACATGAACCTTTGGGGACACACACATGAACCTTTGGGGACACACAAGGTCTAAATTATAGCACTTCCCAAGGGCCTCGCCTCCCAGTACCATCACATGTGGAGTTAGAATTCCAACCTGTGAGCTTGGGAGGGTCACAACATTTGGAGTACAGCACCACCCAAGAAACCTTTTCCTTATGGGACTGTGCATTGTTGGGAGGTTGCACCCTGTGACCGTGTCCCGGTCAATTTGCCACCCATCCAGCCCCACCAGCCTCCCAAGTGCCTAAGACCTGCTACAGTTCTCTGCACCTGAAGGTAAACAGCAAATGCAGGCCGAATCATTTACTCTTAATTTATTTACACTAGCTTCTTCTGGAGAGCATTTAAGGTGATTCATTAGATATATGGCTACACAGGATAAATTACTTCTGACTTCAAGATGAGTTCCTGTTCCTCCCACATCTGAGGACCTAAGAGCTGCTGCATGAGAGATCTTCTACACCAGAAC